AGATGAAAATAGAGAGGAAATGAGAGGAAATGAAGTATTGTTTGTTTAGAAAGTGAAATAAGTGGTTGAAATTTCATAAACACAAGCTTAAAGAGCTCATCAATGGTGGTTTTGGGTGGTTGCAAATATTGATGACAATGGCATTATGGTAAATAAGGAGAAATGTTTAGGGTGTAATAGGTTTTTAATAATTTTCGAAGATAAAATCAGATTTAAAAATAATGGCAATTTGGTAAATAAGTGGAAACATGAGGAGAGTTTAGGTTTTTTAAGAGTGAATAGTAATGGACAAAAAAAAAGAGGTTGGTTTTGTGTTTGACTTGAAATTTTAGGTTGGTTTTGCAAAAACCCCTATATTTAAACGTAAGAATAGTATGTATCCAACAAATATCAACTGGTTATGATCCAGTTTTAATAAGATAGATGTTGTTGACAAAACAAATATTTTGCACAGCTACAAACTCAATAACAGACAATGTGAGCAAGAGCATATTTTTTTATTTCATCTGAATTATGTGGAACTAAGTGGACGGCCCGCACACCTGTGCGGAAATTAATATAATCTATACATTGCATGAATAAAAAATAATATAAATGTATAAATATATTGTAATTTTCTTTCTCTTTTACATAAATACTCTGTTTTTTTAATATATTTTTCTATTTTACTCATTTCGTTTCTCCTTGTATTTTTTCACACATTCGTTTTGTTTCTTATTTATCTCTCTTTGAATTATTTTTGTATGTCTTTGTACACCTCTCTCGCTCTCTTTTCTTTCTCTCTCTATCTCTTAGTTGATCAAATAATCTCAAAATCTCTTAAACTTACATTCACTCTCTCACAATCATCTATATTCATTCTTACCTTCGTCATTAATATGATCCTCAATATTTCATTTTAAGACTCTTTTTATCTCTTTTTGGTTGCAAAATTTTCACCAGATTTTGTTAAATTTTCTAAACACTTTGACATAGTACTAATAAATGATTTCAGAATCTATCTCACTTATATTCAGTCTCTCACTTATATTATTTTTTATCTTCATTATGATCATAACCGACTCTCTAATCCTTATCATCACCATATCTCCCTCTCTTTCTCCCTTTCTTACATATTTTTTATTTAGAATTTAATATAAAATCACAATTGACTAACCAAATAAATTCATTGTCAAATTCTCTCCAATCTTCATACTATCTTATCAAACATTGATTCCTTTGACCAAGATTTTCATTGAAAAAATAAATATTTTATTATTAATTTTGTTTTTCTTTAATTACTTTATTACATACATATTTTAAGTAAATCTAAATAACTGTATTTCAAAAAAGTAAATTTGATTAAATAATTATATAACATAAAATATCTTAATTCTTAAATGATGTAATGTCATTATTTTAGACATAGATTAATATAAACATGAGATTCAACAGTTTTACTATATCAAAATAACATGTTTCTAGTTGTATAAATTTTGTTATAACTTTGTTATCATATATTTTTAAAGTTTATTACACCGCAAAAAAATTATCATTATTTTAAAATAATTTATTTTAAAATTAATTTGCGTTATATTTTGCATCTTCAACATTAACAATTTTATAACTTATCATTTATATTTATCTTCCTTGTTCAATTTTTCCTTATGTTGTATAAACACCTAAAAATAATTAGTTTACAATTATATTAATACGTAAAATTTATTTTGGTATACAAATAAAAAATTATGTATGTACAAATACATCTCTGATTTGTTTCCTGCAAAAAGGATCACATAATGTTAGGTGAAAATATGTGTAGAAAATTGACTTGAAATGAAAAAAAAGAGACGTGTCTAAATCTTTACAACTGCAATTACTTAAACTGACACAAGAAAAAACGCTTTGGAGAGGTAGGAAAGATGAAGAACGGTTCATCGTGAGTGATATCAAGATGGTTTTGGATGAGAAAAACTCATTTTAGAGTGAATGATTCGCTAATTTTCAATTAGAGGGTTTAAATGGAAGGAGAATAGGAATAGAGAAATTACACTCGGTACACACTACTAAGTCCATAATTAGGAAAATTCCTGAAAGCTTTATATTGCACTGTATAAAAAAAACAAAAACTTTACTGTCCCTATCTTCTTCTCTCTCTCTCTCTCTCTCTCTCTCTCTCTCTCTCTCTCTCTCTCTCTCTCTCTCTCTCTCTCTCTCTCCTTTATCCTCGCAGACAACACCACTCAATTTCTCCTCCTTCTTCTTGTCTGTCAATTCTCTCTCCTTCTCATCCAATGCTCCTCTTTCCTATAACGAAATCAGATTCATCCAACGGCAAACAAAATATTAAAGAGAAAAAGGGGGAAAATATAATTAGGGATATTTTTTGGTGGTGGTTTTTTAGGGCTCCTCCTCAACCCGACGTGACACCATTCTCCCACCTCTGATGGCGTGGGTTTTAAAATATATTTTTCCGAATTTGAAAGATATAAAACTTAAATATTTGTCTATGGGTTCACTAATCCATAGGGAGGTTAGGGTTTAGTTTTGAAAAGCAGGAAGGATTTGATTTGGGAAGATTTGATTTGGGAAAAGTTGACTCTCTCAGCAACAACCGGTTCGCCGGGAAGTTTCATGTGGTGGTTCTTGATTTGTCGTCGTTAAAGTTCTTGCACATGTGTGACATTCGTTAAGTGCAAAAACATCTATTTGCATTGTCTGGATCATATAAATTTACTGTTCAAGGTAGATAGCTAATATGATATTAGTTTTAGGATATTGGATCATTTGACTCTAGTAATAAGAGATCGTGGATGAATAGTGGATATTTTTGTCTAGGGTTTATTTGTTATCAGCACCATTATGGTGGATTTGCTAAATAACTACATGCCTAAAATGGTGTAAACAGATTAATTAGCTCTAAGCAACAAGGGAAAACCCACTGATAGCAAAATCAAACCTTAATATATCAACAACAACCTATAGAAAGACATAAAGAGACTTTTGCTCCAAAAAAAAGACATTAGGGTAAAGTTAAAACACCAAGAAAAGCTAAAGGACTGTATTGCAAATTACGGGAGAATTTTAAAACAAGGAAGAACGTAAACTATATATAGCTGATTACTACCCAATTCAAAAAGTTCTTTTGTTTTAATTTCCCAGAGAAAACGAAAAGCGATCCCAAAGGATGAGAGAGATCCTTCACATCCAAGGAGGCCAATGCGGAAACCAGATCGGCGCCAAGTTCTAGGAAGTCATCTGCGGCGAGCACGCCATAGACCCCACCGGTCAGTACTGCGGCGACTCGGATCTCCAGCTCGAGAGGATCAATGTCTATTACAACGAAGCTAGCGGGGGAAAGTACGTCCCACGCGCCGTACTCATGGATCTGGAGCCTGGTACGATGGATTCCCTCAGATCCGGGCCTTTCGGGCAGATTTTTAGGCCTGATAACTTCGTGTTTGGGCAGTCTGGCGCTGGGAAGAACTGGGCATTATATGGAGGGAGCTGAGTTGATTGATTCGGTGCTTGATGTTGTGAGGAAGGAGGCTGAGAAATGTGATTCGAATTTTGTTAGTAGTACACGTGACGCCTGGGTTTATCACGTGCCTAATGATGAGTCGTTAGCATTTCTTGATTTAGATTTGTGATTTGGTTTTCGGTTCAATTGTTTCTATATGTGGTTCAGTGACTGTAGAAATATAGGTAGGTACTTTAGATTATTTATAAAACTCGGTTTGTTTTTTTTCGTTCGGCTTTGATAAAAGTTTGGAAACCAGCTCTTTTGGTTTTCAGAGTCTGATCACTTTCAGTTCCTTAAGTATATAAATATAATAACTCAGGTTTATAAAATTCGTTTGTTTTTCGTTTGGCTATTGGTTCGGTTTAGGTCAAATAATTGGAACCAGCTCTTTCGATATTTTGGGTTTCGGTTCAGAGTCTGATCACTTCGGTTCTTTCAGCATATAAATATAGGACTAGTTGGCTATTTATAAAATTAGGTTTGTCTCTGGTTGAGGTCTTTGATTCTTGGTTCGATTTAGGTAAAATTAATGGAACCGGCTTTTTTGGTTAATTGAACAGGTTTTCAAGTATGTCATTCTTTGCGAGGAGGAACTGGCTCTGGCATGGGAACTCTTCTTATTTCCAAGATAGGGGAAGAATATCCTGATCGTATGATGATGACTTTCTCTGTTGTCCCTTCTCCTTAAGTCTCCGACACCGTTGTTGAGCCATACAATGCTACACTCTTTGTTCACCAGCTTGTTGAGAACGCTGATGAATGTATGGTTTTGGATAACGAAGCTCTATACGATATCTGTTTCCGCACTTTGAAGCTCTCTAATCCTACATGTGAGTATCACAACGCCTCTTGTTTTCCCATGTGATTGTACTTTGAAAAACCCTGACTCTTGTTTGTTCTTGTTTCCTTAGTTGGTGACCTTAACCACCTCATCTCAGCTACAATGAGTGGTGTCACATGCTGTCTCCCTTTCCCTGGTCAACTAAACTCCGACCTTAGAAAGCTCGCTGTCAATCTCATCCCTTTCCCAAGGCTCCACTTCTTCATGGTGGGTTTTGCGCCATTGACATCAAGAGGGTCACAACAATACAGCGCCTTGAGTGTCCCTGAACTAACCCGACAGATGTGGGACGCCAAAAACATGATTTGTGCAGTTGATCTTCGCCATGGACGTTACTTGACCGCTTCTGCTCTGTTCCGTGGGAAGATGAGTACTAAAGAGGTTGATGAACGTCCAGAACAAGAACTCATCGTACTTTGTTGAATGGATTCCAAACAACATGAAATCAAGCGTCTGCGATATAGCTCCCACGGGTTTGAAAATGGCGTCGACTTTCATAGGAAACTCGACTTCGATCCAGGAAATGTTCAGGCGTGTGAGTGAACAGTTCACTGCTATGTTCAGGAGAAAAGCTTTCCTTCATTGGTATACGGGAGAAGGAATGGACGAGATGGAGTTCACGAAGCTGAGAGTAACATGAACGATTCTTGTTGCAGAGTACCAGCAATATCAGGATGCTACAGTGGGTGAAGAGGAGTATGAGGAGGACGAGGAAGAAGAAAGAAGGAGCTTAAGAAAAGATGATTACACAAGCTGTAAGTCGTGCCACTCATTTCTTTTTATCTTGAATTGAAGTTTCTCTATTTATGTGCTTTGTGTGCTTTGTTATTGAACTAAGGATTTGTCCTGGAATGTAAGCCCATATGCCTATGCAAACATTTCAATATCAAGCCTATACAACTTCTCCGACCAAAAAAACTGTATAAACAGTTAGATCCTAAGTCTCTGCGGTTTTTAGCTCTGACTGCACTCTTTCTTCATCTTCCTCTTCAGCCATATCTGCCCAGCTTTTCTTAGATGCACTCTTTGTACAGTCTGCAGTGTCTTTGATGTATTCATGGAGATCATGAATCATGTTCTGGTCCAGCTTCTTCCCTTTCATGGGTTCTTCTTCTCCTCTCTTCAAAATCTTAACACGTTCAGATCTGTCAAACAATAGCTTTCGAGCTGCACCAGCTGTCTCTTCCTCATTCACCCCATTTCTCTGATCCAATTTGCATCCTCGTGGTTGTGTAAACAGACCTGCAGAGTTTTGTCTAACAGATGCTGGAGAAGGAGGAACATGCGAGTGGTTCCTGTTTGCGTTTCTAGGAGCTTTGTTTTCCTTCATTGTTCCATTTGCAAATGAACATCCTGCGTAGAACTTATCCGAAAGACCAACACCTTCTGGATCTTTCGATTCCACTTCTGCTAACATCTCAACGGCTCTGTCATAAGACTTTGAGAATGGTTCATCTCCCGACTCACTCTCTGCAGCTGAATCTCTTACACTATCAATCAGAGATTTAGCTTCTGTGATTCGACCCATACGCATCAAGCAGATGGCGAGGTTGCACTGTTTGTTTTTGTCTGGTTCCAAACACAAAGCTCTCCTGTTCATGGATACATAATTGCATATAAGGAAAATACTCACAAGATACAAACACACTAACTAACAAGAACCAAAACCTGTAATACTGCTCTGCAATTCCATAGTTATGTAGCTGTAAATGTACCCATCCCAAGTTTCCTAGAGTCCTAAAACGTTCAAACAAGAATAAAAACGTCAGCTCAAGAGTCAAAGTACTCACTGAGATTAATAGACTCAAGTCTTGGTACCTTGCTTTCTCTTGCTCGATAGTCATGGTGACATGTTTCCCTTGCACCCTTTTTGCTCTCACGATTCTACCACCAAACCCATTTCCTTGTTCAAGCACTTTCAGCTTGTGCTCAAGCAACTCAGCTTCTTCTTGAATCCTCCCAGACTTCTGCAAAAACCCATTTCAACACATCCATAAACACTTACACAAGAAACAAAAGATAGAGACTTTGATTTTACTTTGTAAAGCTCGAGGAGCAAGTTGTCAATGGAGTCTTGAGCCTCGAAAGGACAGAGATAACGAAAGGACTTTATAGCTTCGATACCCTCATCAGACCGGTCAAGCTGTTTCATAACAACAGCCATGTCCTTCAACGCACTATCAACACGATCTCCAGCGTTTATTGCAGCCCAAAACAATGATATAGCTCTGTTCGGATCTTTAGATACCAACTGTATGTTTGAGAGAAACCACAAATCAAATACGTGTTTAGCAAGAATTCAAGAAACTAAAATTAGAAACCCTAAATCAATTTTCCCGCGTAAAAAAATTCAATAACCTGCGCATGCTTGGCTCTGACGTAAGGCGAATCACCAGAAGGAACCTTGTGGACGATGTGAAAGGGATCAGGTTTCTCAGAAGACGGTGGTCTTCTCCTCTCCGACATCGTCATCGCCGCCGCATGATCTGTTCTTCTCGCCGGCGGTGGAGTCCAGTAAACTCCAGGTGGAGCACGACGAACTTCGAAGGGACACATTTTGATGTTAATCTCGATCTGAGAAAGTTCACCACTTTCGATTTTCTCGAGAAAGAGTTTCCCGGAACTCGAATCCTCGTGTGTTCTTCTTCCTCAGAGATCGTCCGAGTAAAAGATCAAGAACGGAAAGCACAAAACTTCAAGGGCTTGTCTATTAATAAACGAACTTAAGGCTGGGGGCAAAATAGTAATTGACTCCAATCACGCTCAAGTAGAGCAGAGTAGACAGTTAACATTAATAAAGGTTTTGGGTTTTTACAGTTAAGGTAAAAGAACTAAAACGAGCTTTGAGTTTTACTTTTACTTATAGGTGAACACATCATCACATCATTTTTCAAAATGATAAAATTAATCCCCATTTTTTATTGACTAGTGTCAACCATGAAGGACCCCATACCTCTTGTGTATTTATGTCCCTTCTACTTTTTGTCGCTGATAAATAAATGTAGGACTGCTCGAACTAACAAATATTCATTTCATTACTCTTTCCCAAATATTCAAAGCTCCTTATTTTTGTTCTCAGTTGTTGCGATTAATTAATTTATTCCATACTTTCCGTATTCATTTGTATTTCTTTCTGTAAATTTTATAAACGAGATTTTAAAAGTGCCTGCACAATTCTAGCTTAGTTTCCCAATGTCGTCTTGATCTCTCGACACAGTTAATGACATTTTGCCCTTTACCATAAAAGCAAAAAACAGCTAAAAAGAACCGATTGCTAGGTGATCTTTAAACGTTTTGTAGAGGATTATTCAATGTCTACACTAATTTTTTTTTTTTTTTTAAGTAGTTTCCTTCATATCTGATATTTTGATCAGGTGGACGTCTAAACTAAGTGTAAACGGATTTTTAGAACATTGTTACAAATCATATTGCATAAGCCTTTTGCGTCCACTAATACATAAGTGAATTTTTTTTTAACATAAGTGAGTTTTAAGATTCTTTTGGCGGGTACTTCCTTAATCTAACTTATTAAAACAGGATCATCCTTATTATTTGCCCATACAACTCCTTGGAATATTACTTCTATTGCCATTAGATCTACCTCTGAATAATTAACTGCCAATATTTATAACATATCTATAACGAGATTTGGTATTATATAACTTCCAATCCCTTTACTTCCTATAATTCGGGATCCATTACGTGAACAGAGAAAACAGAATCACGTATACACTAATTATATACTAGCAAAGAAAGAAAAATCCGACTACAACATATTTAAAAATTAATAAATTTAATCCTTTAGCAAAAAAAAAAACATATTTAATAAATGCATCAACCACATTATCATTGACAGCAGCAATTCATCTATTATATGCCATACCATTCTGTATATATATTCGTATCAATAAAAAGCTATTACTAACATCAATTAATAACAATCAATTAATTTTTGTAAAATATTTAAAATAATGAGTAACTTATATTTTAATATAATATCTAAACTAGAATATTAAATATAGTTTAATAATTAAATTTGATAAAACACAATACTAAACTTGATTGACATTAATATTATTGGATTATTATATATTATAATTTACAATTACATTTTTTGCAGCTTATTTCATAAAAAGAATAAAAATTTATCACGTATGACACATGTTGATATATTATAATAAATATTTAATTAGTATTATGAGAAAATAAAATTTGACACATATAACAAATGAAAAAAAATCATATTACAAATACGGATCATGTTAAGATACAACATATCAGTTTTCGTTCTGATTTGTATCACTTCCCAAAACCCATACTACAACAATATATCGTTCGAATTCGAGTTATATTAGTTCGGTTCTGATATATCCATAGTTAAATACAAAATTTAAATGCAAAACATATTAAATATTTATTTTTATAGAATTGGATATTTAAGATACTTATTTAAAATTTAAATACTTATTTTAGGTACTATTTCAAAATAAATATATAATCAAATATCTCAAGTACATGTTTATATTTCAAATATTTATATTTATGAAATATAATATATTGCAACTTTTAGAAATAAAGTTTGAAAATATTTCTTAACTGCATATGACACAGTCACACAAGTGTATAATTATGCAACTTAACATATTTAATATAGTTACATGAAAACTTATCTATAAATATTTAAATTAAAAAACATTATATCTTTTGTGGGTCAAAACTCTCGACTAAAACCTTAATTCATCAAATATACTAAAGAAAATAGTTCATGTAAAAATTAATTATATATAAAATTAAAAATTTAGGTAAATAAAAAAGATTATCGTCAAAAAATTAATTCCGCACTTTCAAAGGTTACTTTTTTTTATTTACATTAGATCACAATTCATAAGACCCAATTTTTTTTTCTAAATAGGATTAGAAAAAATATGATTTCAGTGAAAATCATAAATATAAAAAGTTAAATTATATTTAAAAAATCATAAATATGATTACAAAGAAAAACACAAATGTAAAAATTAAATTTTTAAAAATATAAAATATACCCGCCCTTTAAGGGCGGGTCAAAATCTAGTTACACATTAAAGTATTATAAAAAAAACGAATATATCTCCCACTAATCTTTCGTCTTTTTACGTCTGAAAAGCCTATGAAAAAGTAAATTAAAGAAGACTAGTAGTAATACTCTTTCTCGTGAACCCCAGAAACTAAATATACTAATTTTCCCATTTTCTTTCCTTTTGTTTTCAATTTATATATTTGGTATTTTCCCGTTCACACGCTTCAAAGACATTCACCCTCTTTACCGAGTCCTTGTCGTTCGTCACTGTCGTACGTGAAAACGAGCAATTTTCCAACTTCACCTTTGTTTTCGCCCTCTTTGTTTGGTTCTTAAAACAGTGAACTTGTGACACTAAAAGTTTCTTTTGTTTTAAAACAGTAACCTACAAAAATTTCTCACTTTCTTAGTGGCTCACTCACTCTACTGTGTTGAAAGAAACCAAATCCAAACACTCGGTAGCATCAGTTGCATGAGCTAAGAAACAAAATGATTCTGCCTCAAAGGTTCTGTCTTTCTTCTTCTTCAACACTGTCGGCATTGTTCTTGCAGTGATTCCGGTAAGATTAAAATCCTTCCTTTTTTCCGTATAATCTCTTTGCTTCGCGGTTAGGGTAGATCTCGAAATGGGTCCCAATATTGAATTAGCCCATTGTTCATTTAATGTTTCTTTCAGCTGATTCCCTAAGGTTCAAGCTTGTCTCTCTTCTCACTTGTCTACTGCATTTTGTCCTTACAAGGTTAGCTTTCTTCAACTCCTCTTTATGTTTGTCCCTTCTGTGCATTGGTGTTTTTTTTTGGACGAAAGATTGAAACTTTTGTTAGTATCTTTGATGGGTTTTGATTTTTCTTCATTAATTTTCTGTCAGATTTACTTGGGCTGTGTTGGTGAGTTGTAAAAGTTGCTGACTTTCTGCAAAAAAACTGTAGCTTTGGGGGAAAATTATTGAAGTCAAAGGATGAGGATTTTGTTACTATTCATGTTTTTCCTCTCTGCAATGGGACAACTTCCTTCACAGGACATCATGGCATTGCTTGAGTTCAAGAAAGGGATCAAACATGACCCTACAGGTTTTGTTCTCAACTCATGGAACGATGAGTCCATAGACTTCAATGGCTGCCCTTCTTCCTGGAACGGTGTTGTCTGCAACGGTGGTAACGTGGCTGGTGTGGTTTTAGACAATTTGGGTTTGTCTGCAGATGTTGATTTGAGTTTGTTCTCCAACTTGACAATGCTTGTCAAACTATCTATGGCTAACAACTCCATCTCTGGTGTCTTACCAAGTAGTTTAAGCAGTTTCAAAAGCCTCCAGTACCTGGATTTGTCTGATAACCTCTTCTCTTCTTCATTGCCTAAAGAGTTCGGTAGAGCAGTGAGCTTGAAGAATCTTTCTATAGCTGGTAACAACTTCTCTTCTTCATTTCCTAAAGAGATTGGTAGATCATTGAGCTTGAAGAATCTTTCTTTAGCTGGTAACAACTTCTCTGGTGAGGTTCCAGAGTCTATAGGAGGTTTGATTTCTCTTCAGTCTTTGGATATGAGCCGCAACTCCTTATCTGGACCTTTGCCAAAGTCCTTGACAAGGCTTAACGAGCTGCTGTACTTGAATCTTTCTTCTAATGGATTCACAGGGAAAATCCCAAGGGGCTTTGAGTTACTTTCGAGTCTTCAAGTGCTTGACTTGCATGGTAACTCATTTGATGGTAATCTTGACGGCGAGTTTTTCATTTTAACAAATGCGAGCTATGTCGATCTCAGTGGGAATAGATTAGTGACAACGTCTGGAAAGCTCTTACCTGGTGTATCTGAGAGCATCAAGCACTTAAACCTCAGCAACAATCAGCTTGAAGGTTCATTGACTAGTGGGTTTCAGCTGTTTCAGAACTTGAAAGTCTTGGATCTTAGCTACAACCAGTTATCCGGAGAGTTACCAGGTTTCAACTATGCATATGACCTTCAAGTACTCAAGCTCAGCAACAATAAAATCTCTGGTTCACTTCCCAATAACCTATTAAAAAGTGACTCCTTGCTTTTGACTACACTGGATTTAAGTGGCAACAATCTCTCAGGTATGCTCTTTGCTTTATATTCTACGGAGTGGCACCAAAAAAAAAACTAAATCTAATATATTTTGTGTTATGTGTTTCAGGGCCAATAAGTGATATCATGTCAACAACTCTACACAGCCTTGATCTTTCTTCAAACTCACTGACCGGAGAGCTTCCTCTCTTGACCGGGAGCTGCGTCTTACTTGATCTCTCAAACAACCAGTTTGAAGGTAATCTGACAAGATGGTCAAAATGGGAGAATGTGGAGTATCTTGATCTCAGCCAGAACCGTTTCACTGGGTTGTTCCCAGATGTATCTCCTCAGCTTCTGCGTGCTAATCATCTTAATCTCTCTTACAATAAGCTCACAGGCTCACTTCCAGAACGGATTCCTACTCTGTATCCGAAACTTCGGGTTCTTGATATAAGTTCTAACAGCTTGGATGGGCCATTACCAAGTGGGCTACTATCCATGCCCACTTTGGAGGACATACACCTTCAATACAATGGCATGACAGGTAACATTGGACCCATGCCTTCTTCTGGTTCCAGAATCCGTGTTCTTGATCTTTCTCACAACCGGTTTGATGGCGATCTTCCTGGTTTACTCGGGTCCTTGACCAGTCTCCAAGTGCTGAATCTCGCAGCTAATAATTTGTCTGGAACTTTGCCTGACTCCATGAATGAAATGGTCTCTTTAAGCTCATTAGACGTGTCTCAGAATGATTTCACTGGACCACTCCCAAGCAACTTATCTGCCAGCCTTGTGGCGTTTAATGTGTCATACAATGATCTATCAGGTACTGTGCCAGAGAATCTGAAGAACTTCCCACCGCCTTCCTTTTATCCTGGAAACACCAAGCTCCTCTTACCTGCTGGATCCCCTGGATCAGAAGTTTCCAAGAGGAAACCAAGGAACTTACTTATTAAGGTTGTCATAATAGTTTCCTGCGTCATCGCTCTAATAATACTCAGCCTTGTGGCTATTCTCCTATTCTGCATCTGCAAATCAAGAAGGAAGGAAGAGCGTAGTCTCACAGGTAAAGATATAAACAAGCGGGCTCAAACAATCCCCTCAGGCAGTGGAGGTGGTATGGTTGTCTCTGCTGAGGATCTCCTTGCTTCAAGAAAAGTCTCGTCTTCTGAAATCCTCAGTCCAGACGAGAAACTAACTGTTGCAACTGGTGTCTCTCCTTCCAAAACCAGTAATCTATCTTGGTCTCCTAGCTCAGGAGATTCACTCCCACCTGATCAGCAGCTAGCTCGGCTTGATGTTAGGTCACCAGATAGACTTGTGGGAGAGCTGCAGTTTCTGGATGATTCGATCAAGCTGACTCCAGAGGAATTGTCAAGGGCACCAGCTGAAGTTCTAGGTAGAAGTAGCCACGGGACTTCTTACAAGGCAACGCTTGATAACGGAGTGTTTTTAACAGTGAAGTGGCTAAGAGAAGGCGTGGCAAAGCAGAGAAAAGAGTTTGCTAAAGAAGTTAAGAAGTTTGCTAACATTAGGCATCCTAATGTTGTGACTCTCCGAGGATACTACTGGGGTCCTACGCAACATGAAAAGCTTATTCTCTCAGATTATATATCGCCTGGAAGCCTCGCTAGCTTCCTCTACGGTAACATTCCTTTTTAGGCTTGGTAAAAAAACAGGAACCTAAAACTTGAACTGAACCAAAACCTAAAAATACCCCAACTGTTCCTATATTTCTGTATTCAAAATAACCAAACAGAACCAGAACCGAATCGAGAACCAAACTGATATCTCTGAATATAAAAATATATTAATAATATATACATATAAGATAACTATATATATATAATTTAAAAATATATCTCCTATATATTAAAGGAGAAACATTACAACATTTTTGGTAGCCATGTGTCATCACCATAATGAGTCTTAGAAATCCTTAGAAAAAAAGTTGGTCCATCTATGTTTATAATAAGCTTTTTATTAAATTATAAATTTATCATTAATGATCTTTTTTCTTTCCTTAAATAAAATTACGGAATTGCCTAATGTGACTAAAATATATGATAATTAATGGTTTTGAATAATAAAAATTAGTGTATCAACCATATTTTTTAATTTTAAATTAGCGAAATAAATTAAACAATAACATTAACTATATAACAAAAAATGATTTTTTTGATATATGTTATATTTTGAATTTTTTAAACGATTATCAATTAATAAAACATTTAAAAATTTCACATATAATAATTTTGATTAGTAGTTTAAATTCTCTATATATCCCCTATATATTAAAGGAGAAACATTACAACATTTTTGGTAGCCATGTGTCATCACCATAATGAGTCTTAGAAATCCTTAGAAAAAAAGTTGGTACATCTATGTTTATAATAAGCTTTTTATTAAATTATAAATTTATCATTAATGATCTTTTTTCTTTCCTTAAATAAAATTACGGAATTGCCTAATGTGACTAAAATATATGATAATTAATGGTTTTGAATAATAAAAATTAGTGTATCAACCATATTTTTTAATTTTAAATTAGCGAAATAAATTAAACAATAACATTAACTATATAACAAAAAATGATTTTTTTGATATATGTTATATTTTGCATTTTTTAAACGATTATCAATTAATAAAACATTTAAAAATTTCACATATAATAATTTTGATTAGTAGTTTAAATTCCCTATATATTAATCATGTTAATCATGTAGCATTACAACATTTTTGGTAGCCATGAGAATGATTTTTATAACTCTTTGAGAAATATGTTGGTCCAACTAAACATATGTTATATTTTATTATATTAACTATCATATTTAATTAGTAGTGTATAAAAGAATATTTCATATTCTTTTCTTATATAAAAGATACGGAATTACCTAATATGATTAACATATATATCACAATTAATGTTTATGAATAATAAAGATATGATGAAAAATTTTTATCCTCTTTTTTTTATATTATTAAAAGAAATTAAAAATCACATTAATCATATAATAATAAAATAAGATTTTTCTTATATGTTATATTCTGAATTTTCGAAACGATAATAAATTACTAAAAATGTTAAAAATCTCACATTGAAAATTTTGTGATCAGTGATAACGTTTTTCAGTTCAGCCAATCGTTTTTCCAATCAGTCTTAAACAATTTATAATGATTAACTAAATAGATCGCGCATAATAAAGTGTGTTTGTTTAAAAATTATTGCATATCCAAAATCAATATGAACCATCATTCCTTTCGTTTACATTTTTGTTACAATAAAAAATATACGTTGGGCAAAAAACTGAATCCAGATAACCGAATTAAATCTAATCCAAAAATTAGTACAAATTTTTAACTAAAATTGGTTAGATATCCAAACGGATTCGAAATTTTGGTATCTAGAGAACTAAAACTGAATCGAAATATCTCGGATATTCGAGTGTACTCGAACCAGATTTATGTACTTAAATATATTAATTATTTTTAAATTTAACATCTACGAATATACAAAACACATGAGAGTTTTAAAAATTTTCCAAAATACTTAGAAATATATAAAATAATTAAATGTACATTTTTAAAATAGCTAAACGATACTCCAAATACGAAAAGTATTTATTGATTTCTTGTCCAAATATTTAAGATATATATAAAATATATATCTTAAATACTTAGAAATATATAAAATAGTTAAATGTACTTTTTTAAAATAGCTAAACGATACTCCAAATACGAAAAAATATTTATTGATTTTTTTGTCCAAATACTTAGAAATATATAAAATAGTTAAATGTACATTTTTAAAATAGATAAACGATATTCCAAATACTCCAATTTTATTTTAAGTTTAAGTATTTTGGCATTAATTTTTCAAATTTATATGTTATATATTACTTTTACATTTAGATTTTGAAAAATTTAATGTATATATAAATTTTAATCTTTAAAAAAAAAATTAAATGGATTATCCAAACCTGAAAAGATTCGAACCAAACCGCAAATATCTAAACCAAACAGAATCTAACCAAACCAAATTGTATCTAAATGTTCATTCCTAATCAAATGTAAAAAAAAAAAATTATTGATAACAAAATATGTATATAAATATAATATAATTTTAAAACGCTCACACCGCGCATGGCGCGGGTTATCATCTAGTTCAAAGTATTTGAAGAAACAAAATTATCACAAAGTATTCGAATCAATCCAAGTTTATTTTACTAAAAATATTTGATATTTTATCTGAATATCCTAACTACTAGAAATAACCAAACTGCAACCAGAACCAAAACAGGAACAAAACTTTTTATGGGTATTTTCCTGTTCCTAGTTACTTTCCGACCTAAACCTGAAACTACACTAACCAAAGTTTATAAGATATTAAATGGATCCTCTAGCCTCCTTTCATAAGACTTCTCTATCAAGCTTACTGTTCTTATTTGATTTCAGATCGACCTGGCAGGAAAGGCCCTCCTTTATCTTGGCTCCAACGTTTGAAAATCGCAGTTGATGTAGCACGTGGTCTAAACTACCTACATTTCGACAGAGCCGTACCACACGGTAACCTCAAGGCAACAAACATTCTCTTAGATGGAGCAGAGCTAAACGCACGTGTAGCAGATTACTGCCTCCACCGTCTCATGACACAAGCAGGCACAGTTGAACAGATTCTAGACGCAGGCATCTTAGGTTACCGAGCTCCTGAGCTAGCAGCCTCAAGGAAGCCGTTACCTTCTTTCAAATCAGATGTGTATGCGTTCGGTGTGATAGTTCTTGAGATCTTAACGGGGAGATGTGCAGGAGATGTGATCACAGGTGAGCAAGAAGGTGTTGATCTAACGGATTGGGTTAGGTTACGTGTTTCTGAAGGAAGAGGTACGGAGTGCTTTGACTCGGTGTTGACTCAGGAGATGGGAAGTGATACGGTTATGGAGAAAGGTATGAAAGAAGTTCTTGGGATTGCATTGAGGTGTATAAGATCGGTTTCTGAGAGACCTGGTATCAAGACCATTTATGAAGACCTTTCTTCCATTTAGGAACAATGTTTTTTTTTGTTGAAGTTCATAGCTTTTGTTTCTGGAAAAAAGCATGTTCTTGAGACAAGTTAGTGTGTTGATGTGTTTTTAGGTAAACTTTTTGTGATCATTTTCCCTGTAAAAATCTGCTCATGTCTCATGAGTGATTGAAATATCATTTTTCCTTTTTTTATGTTCTCTGTTAAATACCTTCGAATAGAGGTGGGCAAAACCTTGAACTGACGGAACAGCTAGAATATTGGAAAAAGCTCATACTAAAGTCACGAGGGGGTCTTCAATGGCTTGCATCATAGCGTAAACAAGCCAGGGATTTCAAACTGTTAACTTAGGGATGAGCATACTGTTTTCCGTTGTTCCCCGGTTCAACAGCATAATTTCAACTTCACTTATCAGCTTGAGAGTGGAAGGAAGCACCGGTGATTTGCCAAGCTCAGGTAAGGTTTTCACGGTTTGGTAAAATGTTATAATAGCTGGAACAGAGGGATTGTTTGACAATCTCTACAACAACGAGATCACAGCCATAAAGTCCCTAATACTATATTTTTTTCTCAACAAAAATTACTTAAAAGAAACATTAAACAATTGGTAGAAAATAACAACCATAATCCAACCAAGGATGTCATTTATTATTACAAGACTCAAACAACTTATTAGGATGAAGAAAAGGATGTTTTTTTATTACAAGACTCGAACAACTTGTTTAAAAGACAGACACGATAAGAAAGAAGAGTCTTTCAAAAATAACCATAAAAACAGCCCGTGGCCATATGGGCTTGCACTCCTGTTCCTCCTGTTCTTGTTTTTCATCGTAGTACTTCAAGTCATAATCCAAGAATTCCAAGGAGGACGTGATACTGTAACAAGCCATCCAAGTTCGTTTCTCTTAGTAGTAAGCCTACTAATTGGCATATCATGGGGGTACAAGGTCAACATGCTCGAGATGAAACATGTAATCAAGCACTAGCTCCTTTCTCTCTTCGTCATCCACATCCCCAAAGTCCTCAGTAGCATATATCGAGTCAAATATGTCACCATCGATGGTACGCTCCATTGGACGACGTATCCAGTCGTCATCACAATCAATCCCCGTGCGAGGTACAGAAAAAAACACACAACCCAAACTATAAACAAACATCACAAAATCAAAAACATACAACTCCAGATCGAAACCAAGATCACAAAATCAAACGCACATAGCACCAATCCGACCAAAGGAATATAGAATAAGGAACGTAACAACGAACCTCTACCGATATATTCCCGCAGAACACCATGTTCACTTTCAAAATCCCATTTCCTCCGATAGTATGCTTTCGTATCGTAGACTCTTAGTTGACGAGACAAACCACTACTTATTCTTGACATAATACAAGACCGAAGGTTAGCCATTGCCATTTCTTTTTGTCTCTCTTCGCTCCAAGACCTCTCACAAGGGCAGGTATAAATTAAGGTTTGTATGTTAAAACCTACTAGAATTTGTTTATTTTATGACATTATGAACTAATTAATATTTATCAAAAGTAGAAAAGACTTTTTTCAAATTTTGATTTAATTTAAATTTCTATCTATCTATCTATCTATTATCATAAAATAGGCTTTTCTCTCATTTCTAGGATACCATGTCACTAATTCAATGCATCACATTGCGACACGTGTCCACTAAGACTACACGATGCTTTTCATTAACTTACTTATTCGATTTTATGGGCTTCGTTGTGTGTTGTTAGGCCCCAATAATATCTTCAAAGACCCATAATGTTTTCGTTAAATGTAAGATCCTTCATCCACTCTGTTTTGGAATTTAGGGTTCATCACAATCTTTGATCTCCGGCATTAGAGAGACTGTGATGCAGAGGTCGGCGTGACAATTTTGTTCGTTGGGGTTTCGATCACGTCCTTTCGCCTTCTTTATCTCTATTGAAACGAGGCAATTTTCAGATCCATCAAATTAATCTATTGATAGGTTCTTACTTGTGAAAAATATATACATATATAAGTTATTAGTTTATAATTTAATAGGACCATATATATATATATACATAGATTTTTTTTAAGTTATTATCTTATATTTTATCGTTTTGTGCCGAATTTTATATCGGTCCAGTTGAGACCGGCGAAATTTATTAATTTATCGAGTATAATTTATAGAGGTTCTACTGTATATAATTTTAATTTTAGGTATTTGCGGACATAATCTTTCTATGAATACTTATCAGTGTATATTTATTAATTTAAAAACCAACATGATATGATAAGTTATTAATTATTATATTTTCAAAAGTTTAAATAAAACGTCTAGTTATTTAAATTTGACAAAAAAATTTCATCAAAAGATATAAATTTATTATTGTGTTGAAGTTTAAAAACAATCGCATATTAAATTATTTTAGAAAATATCTTTATATAAATGTTTTTTAACTGAATGTTATTTAATTTTGTAATGTAAATTTTTAAATTTAATAAAATATTATTATTTTCAAAAGAAAAAATTAATTATATATAAAAACAGAGTATATATAATAATTATCATGTAGTTATAATATTATCTCCTAATTACAACACAATATATATAAGAGTTATCTTTTGACAATGTTTTTATCTTTTCCAAATTTATTGTATTAGTTTACAGTCAATTATTTAAGCTAACATATAAATATCATATTATTAATATAATTTTTTTTAATTATATCATAGCTTATATATATATATTAATTTCATTAAGGGTAACAATTAAATTAACCACTATAAATTTTAACAAAAAATCACTTAAAAATAATAATATAGATTGTAATTTGAAATATTTGAAGCGCGGTAGTTGTATGTATGATATCCATTTTCATTAGAAAATAACTTATTAATTAACTAAAGGAAAATGTATAATCATGAAATTGTAATCTCTTCCTTTCAATATTAAGGTAAACAAAATATATAAAAAAATAATGCAATACACACAATGAAAATTAAAATAAATTTAACTTAAAGTCAGATACACATTTTAAAATATTCATTATAATTAATGATATATTAGGTAATTCTTTTACATACTAACCCGCCATAGGGCGGGCCAATCTTAATTTATTATAAAGTTATAAAATTAAATAAAAATTATTAAGAATTATATTAAGATATGACAAAAGATTAATTACAGAAAAATAGAATTCACAAAAAAAAAATTTAATGGATCTAAACAAGTTAAATGGGCATTATCAACATAAACGTGCTTAGCTCTAAACGGGCTTGACATTAAACGGGTCTAAACGGGCAGGGTCTAAACATGCCCGGATATCCCGTATTAACGTCCCTAGTTGTGTCTTTGTTAAATACGGTAACATTGTTAAACGTAACATTGTTGGCCAAGGCTTTCATCCCAAACCTGGTCAGCCCCATGCTGAGGTAACCAGAACCGAAAAATACAATCTTGCTTGTTGGGTTTATGGAAATGAAAAGACTTTCAATTGTTTCTTGTGCTTCTGATGTTATTGCATTGTTGTTTTCATGTTGAGGTAACAATAAAAGATGCAGTCTTGTTTGAGGGGTTTGTGTAAATAAGAAGACTTTCAATTGTTACTTGTGATTCTGATAGATTACATTGTATTTTCATGCTGAGGTAACAATAAAAGTTCCAGTCTTGCTTGTTGGGTTTCTGTAAATGAGAAAACTTTCATTGGTTTCTTTTGCTTCTGATAGATTGCATTGTGCTTTCTCGATGGAGGTAACAACAAAAGATGCAGTTTTGCTTGATGGGTTTCTGGAAATGAGAAAACTTTCAAACTTTTTTCTTGTGCTTATGATGTTATTGCATTGTGTTCTCTTTTCAAAGGTGACTAGGTGTAATGAGTTTGATTTTCGTGTTGAACATTGTTAGGGGTTTGCTCTTAAAGATGCTGGATACTTAGCTGAGAAGCCACTCCTTATGTTAGCTTAGAACCATGTAACTACTACGGGAGAACACCCCCTGCATATAAGCCTTGATCAAGGCTAATGTGAAGAGAGTTGTAGTTGGGATGGTGGATCCAAACCCAATCGTTTCTTCTTCTGGCATCAGCCGTTTGAAAGATGCTGGAATCGATGTCACTGTTGGTGTTGAAGAAGAGTTATGCAAGAAGATGAATGAGGGATTCATCCACAGAATGTTAACAGGAAAGCCTTTTCTCACACTGAGGTATTATATTTCTGTCAATGGTTGTTTTCTGGACATGATTGGGGAAAGGGCTTTGGATATTGGTGGATACTACTCAAAGCTATTAGAAGAATCTGACGCGGTAATACTTTCCTCTTCGTTATCTGATAAACTCTTGAGTATTTCCTCACAAGAAGAAGCTGATGTTTTGATCCAACCTATTCAAATCATAGTATGGCTAGCAATGCACAACAGTTTCCTCATATCCTTACTTCTTCCAACACCAAGAATCAGGTGAGTTGTACTATTCACTGGAAAGGACCTGGTTGCAGAGTCAGGAACCAGCAATAGCGGGGTTGAAACTGTGGTATTGGAGAATATAAATTTGGAATCTATCTTGGATTACTGTTATGACCATGGACTATGTAGTGTTTTGTTAGATTTGAGAGGGAACATCAAAGACCTTGAGGTGCTTCTTAGAGATGGGTTTGAGCAGAAACTGTTGCAAAAGTTAGTAATTGAGGTTTTGTCCGAATGGTACGCCAAAGATGAGAGCCAGGTCTTGTCCATGAACTGGTTAAAATCAGTGGCTGTGGAAGATTTGCAGTCTAAGCAATTAAGTGATAGCGTTTTGCTAGAATGCTATCTTTGATGTTTTGACTCCGATTGGTACGGATTGTTGCTTTGGGCTATGGCTTTAAGTTTTAGACTGTAGAGACTTTGGTTTTTAAACCTTTGGCTTTTGTATAAAGCCTGAAATTGTGGCTTTAGAAAAATATGAACAAATAGAAGAATCTTTTTAAAATTTGGCTTTAGAGGCTTTATACAGAATTTTAAGTGGTCTAAAGCCTAAAGTCTGATTATTTAAAATTTTGACTTTAATGACTTTACAAAACCTAAATCCTATAAAGCCAGAATACCAATCGGACCCTGATGTATAACTGTGTTTAAGTTCTTCACCTTAGAGGCAGACCCACATAAGAAAATGGGGTTGCACCTGCCACCTCTTAAATTGGTATAAATATTATTTTGTTTACTAAAACAAGAAAGATTGGTAGTTTTGGTGGTAAAGTGCTATGTCTGCCATGATATCTTGTACTTATTTTTTTCATTTAAGCATTTATTGATCCATGTAATATTAATTCCTTGATCCGCCATTGCTTCACGTTTATATTTTGAAACCACTGGGTTACTGAAGATTTTACAGATTTTTAACTGCATAAATAAATAAAAAATTATTATTTCAAACTCAACTAATAAAGTGAGTTAATATTGGTGGTGTTGCAACTAATTTTGTGAAAGTGTGCAAACTTCGAAACATGGACTGTTCTTCTTTTTATTTTAAACTCAAACATCAACCTTGAGACTCAAAGACTCTAGCATACACGGGAAGAGGGGTCTCATCACGAATCCATTCCTAACCGCACTATTGGTGCCCGAAAGATTGGTGTGATGAAACATGGACTGTTCTTTGAAGGAACGGAGAAGTATGTTGTTACTTTAAAAATATCTTCACTTGTTTCTTTTTGAACTTTAACATTTTCACATGCTGAAGAAGTGATTCGAGCACCTTCTATGACCTACCATACAAGTAATAGGTATCCTAAGATCAGATGTTTTTGTAATTGGCACGTATACCTTAAGCTGATTTTAAGGATATGTATATTAATAGAGTGTGAAGTAACAGTGAAAATATATTGTTGATGTCGATTGCATTACATAGCGGGCTAAAAAGAACATTTGACAAGTATTTTGGATTTTAATGGAAATTACTAATGGAGGACAAGAAACTTTATAAAGCATATTGGATTTTTTGTTGTTGTTGAAACCAAACATATCTGGAAATGTTCAAAAGAAAATAAATATTAAAGGATCTTTTATTGGATTATTCTATGTTTTCAATATAAATTTATAATTGCATATAAGTTGAATATTTTTGTTTTCATAGTTTTATTAATAAAATTACTCTACAGTTACATTCTTTTTGTCCTCATTATTAGAGATTCTAAAATTGTAACACATATAAGTTTTTCTCAAAAAAAACACATATATATGATATAAGCATCCGACAGAAATTAGCAGTCTAGTATGTACACAATAAAGAGAAACACACTGGATAAAGATTCATTTACAAATTGGTGGTGAGAACAAAGTTTTATGAGCATGTCGATAATGTTCGAGTGGTTCACCAAAGTCCACGCATTAACTTAGCGAAAAGGTTGACCATACTATCCCCACCAATTTCCATTTCACAAACCTTTTCTTTAATCTTTCTTCCTTTTACATATATCGACAACACTTTTAAGTGTTCTATTAATGATGGTATTCAGATAAAAGAAGATTAGTTATAGCATGAGGCAATTATGTATGGGTTTAGGTTCTCAACTTGTTGGTTACAACAAAAAAAAGAAAACATAAGTTCAAAGTAAGCAATATATGACATTTTGAGTATACCATGTTAAGAGTTGATGAATTTTTAATTCAAACGAAAATAATCGATGAATAGATTGACTCATACTTTTAATCGTAAAGAAATGTTGGTCTCTGTTTACATCCAACTACATCAATAATATTTAATATAACAAGTCAAGAAGAAATTATATTTAAAGTAATAAGCTCAACCAACTATATGAATAAATAAATATTTAATATAATTACAAGTCAAGAAGAAATTATATTCTAAGTAAGCTCCTCCAACTATATGAATACATAACAAATTTAATATAACAAGTCAAGAAGAATTATATTTAAAGAGCTTACTTTTTCACTTTGGTCTTGCTTTCGTTATGTTGTATTACAGAACATTAAGTTCAAAGTAGTTGCAAAAAGAAAACATAAGTTCAAAGTAAGCAATATATGACATTTTGCGTATACCATGTTAAGAGTTGATGAATTTTTTAACTCAAACGAAAATAATCGATGAATAGATTGACTCATACTTATAATTGTAAAGAAATGTTGGTCTCTGTTTACATCCAACTACATCAATAATATTTAATATAACAAGTCAAGTAGAAATTATATGTAAAGTAATAAGCTCATCCAACTATATCAATAAATAAATATTTAATATAATTACAAGTCAAGAAGAAATTATATTTTAAGTAAGCTCATCCAACTATATGAATACATAACAAATTTAATATAACAAGTCAAGAAGAATTATATTTAAAGAGCTTACTTTTTCACTTTGGTCTTGCTTTCGTTATGTTGTATATCAGTATACACCTTTTCTCCTTTTGGTATATGTACCCTTCCTTTACAAACCTTTTCACTAGTTTTTTATTAGCACAAAGTATTTATCATTAATCCTTTTCAATAATTTTTTATTAGCACAAACTAATACTAATCATTAGGAGAACCAATATGTCACTTACACTAACTAACATTTTCTTTATATAAGTGTGGTTAATATTGAGTTTCTTGGTAATGTGAAACACTTCAAGAAGAAGAAAAGAACCAAAAAAATGGACCAGAGTCATTCAAACGCAAGTCAATCAAGATCTGTAGATCGCAAAACAATTGAGAAAAATAGAAGGATTCAGATGAAAGCTCTTTACTCAGAACTCAACTCTCTTCTTCCTCAAACTTCTAGGGTTTCCTCTTCTTCTTTCTTTATACTCTCTGACGCTATGCATATATAGTATATGATTTCATGTAAAAAACATTTCTTATTTAATGGTTATAGGCGCCTTTAACACTTCCTGACCAGCTTGATGAAGCTGCAAACTACATCAAGAAGCTACAAGTGAACGTGGAGAAAAAGAGAGAAAGGAAAAGGAAACTTGTTGCGACTGGATCTTCATCCATGTCTTCGAGTGGCGGCGTCTCCGTACCTCGAAGGTTGCCGAAAATCGAGATTCAAGAAACCGGTCCACTTCTTCTCATCTTTCTGGTGACAAGCTTGGAACACAAGTTTATGTTCCATGAGATCATTGGTGTCCTCACTGAGGAATCAGGAGCTGAGATCACTTATGCTGGATCCTCAACTGTTGATGATACCGCCTTCCACACTCTTCATTGCAAGGTATATAGTAAATCCATGTTTATATTTAAGTTTCTGATCTTGGGATTTAGGAAAAATAAAAATGTGCTACTACTATTACTACTACTACTACTACTACTACTATGTTAACATTAGGTCTAGTCCACGCTGTATTCAAATGGGAATATGATATAAGTTCGGCCATTGGTAAAAACACACGTTTTTTATTCATTAGAAAACGATTAATATCTCGTTACATATTTTATCTATGCTTACCTATAAAGATGCACTTAAAATGCAAAGAAACTACATTGCTCCCATCTAGTTTGTAAGTACTATTCATTAGAAACCGATTGGTAAGTAGACTAAGTAGTTACATATTATATTTAACTTTTCTATCATCCAGGCTGTAAAGATGCACTTGAAATGCAAAGAAACTCCCATCTAGTTGGAAGTTTTTTTTTTTTTTGAAGAAATAGTTGGAAGTTGTTTTATTAGTCTGATTAGATTTCCTCGGCCATTTTTTTTTGGTTTATTTTGTTGCTAATTTGTTAATTTATTTTCTAATTTACGATATAGGTGGAAGATTGTGATCATGAAGCTAGTAGTAGAATTTCTGAGAGTCTGAAGAAACTTGTTAACAATTTCAACTAATATTCTCTTATAATGTGTACCTGTTCCCCTCTTCTTGCAGCTTTTTTGGTTTATTTGTTTTCGTTCTATATTTTCTTTTGTTGAATTTTATCTTGAAATGTGAAAGTGATGTTTCAGTGTGAGCATAATATATATATTTTTATCTCTACTAAAACTATGGGGATTTATGGAAATTGTGAAAGTGATAGTTTTCATTTAACTATGTTTATCACTAAGTACGCTTGGAGCCTAAATAATTCTGTTAATTCGAAATGATCTATTTAATTATGAACTAAATGAAAATAACAATACATTATTTTAATTTTTCTACCTGGGGCTTGACTTGCTATACGGATGTTTCTGCAGACTCTTAAGATGCAGCTTTTATACATAACTTAGATAATTCCATAATATCTGTGTCCACATTCTTCCGATCCTTTCTATTAAGATATGTACATATCTCTGAGAATATATTTTCTTTCCGATTTCACTGTGAAGAATGATGCGAAAATTCATCGAATCAAAACAGAGATTGCCACGGCTCAACAGCAAGGACAATCCATTGAAGCTCACTTTGGATACTTAAACAAGCTGTGGACGACTCTTACTGATTTTCGTCCTTTGAAAAGATGCAAGTGTGGATCATGCACGTGTGAGCTCAACATGGAGCTTGAGAAAGAACGTGATGAGGATTGGGTTCATGAGTTTCTTTGGGGACTCGATGAAGTCTACATACCTACGCGATCTGCTCTACTTTCATGTGTTCTGTTTCCCACTCTTGGCGATGTTTACAATGCTTCAACTCAGGAAGAAGATTCAAGGATGGGATCGAGTGCATATGTAGAACCAACTGGAGGAGTTAGTTATGCAGTGCAGTTACAGTCCAGAAACAGAGCTGCTCCAGATGAACGTGACAGAAGTATGGTTTGTGGAAGCTGTGGACGGACATGTCACGGCTCTGACAACTGTTTCAGACAGATTGGGTATCTTCCGTGGTGGGGAGATCGACCTAGAAACAAAGGTAATAAAGGAAGTGTTTTAGTACCTATGAAGAACAGAGGGAGGGAGATAGCTCAGGTCAATGCGATGGGAACTCAAAGAGCGAGTTCTTCAGCAATAACAGATGTAGACCGAGTGGGATTTAACGGGTTGAATAAGGCACAATAGAAGACTTTGGTGTCTATGTTGGACGAAAGGAACCAGCCACCGCCATCTCGTCTCTCTGCTAAGTCATTCTTTGAATCCTGGATACTTGATAGTGGTGCTACCAATCATATGACTGGGTCTAAGGATTATATTACAGAGATTCAGTATATGGAACCTATGAGAATTAAGCTACCTGATGGTAGATTTACAGTGGCTAATCAGAAAGGTGTAGTTGCAATGGGAATGCAAATTGAATTGCAGAATGTTTTCTTGGTTGAGGGATTAGATTGCCATTTGATTTCGGTTTCACAGTTGACTCGAGATAGTTACTGCATTTATTCAGATGTCTGACAAGCTTTGTACTATCCAGGACCGCATCACGAAGACCCTGATTGGTGCGGATGAGCAACTGAGTGGACTGTACATCTTTAGGAGCATTAATGTGGCTGTGCCGTTGATGGCTGGGTGCACGGATCGCTTATCACGAGACGCATGGCATCGACGACTAGGACACCCATCTCTTAAAGTTGTAGACAAGCTAGATGTTTCTGGGTTTTCTAGTTCTGGTGTTTTAGATAATAAAGCGTGTGAAGTTTGTATCCGCGCCAAACATTCTCGTGATGTATTTCCGATCAGTTTGAATAAAGCCACTGCAGATTTTTTATTTGATACATTGCGACTTATGTGGATCCTATAGAACACCAGCTCTGTGTGGAGCACAGTACTTCTTGACTATTTTAGATGACTACTCTCGAAGCTTATGGCTCTATCTGTTAGCAAACAAGCAACAAGCACCGGTTAAAATAAAACAGTTCTTCTCCCTTACAGAAAGACAGTTTAGTACGAGTATCAAGACATTCAGGTCTGATAATGGCAGTGAATTTATTTGCCTAACTGATTTTGTTTCGAGATAAGGGATTCATTCATGATAGTTCATGTGTTGGAACTCCTCAACAGAATGGGAGGGTTGAAAGGAAGCATCAGCATATCCTCAATGTGTCTCGTGCATTAATATTTCAAGCCTCGTTACCAATAGAGTTTTGGGGTGAATGTACTCTTGCAGCTGGATACCTTATCAATCGTACACCATCAGAAGTTTTGAAAGGGAAGACATACTTTGAGATGTTGTATAAGAGACCGCTCCCAATTAAACATCTTAGAACTATTGGTTGTTTGTGCTTTGTCCATGAGCAGAAGCATGTAGGAAATAAGTTTGCAAGCCGTAGCAGGAGAATTATTTTTCTTGGATATTCATTTGGCAAAAAGGGATGGCGTGTGTACAACTTGGATAACCGAAAATCCTCGGTGTCTCGAGATGTGATCTTTATGGAAGATGAGTTTCCATTTGCGGGTCAAGATAAGGTTGAAACAGAGGAGAGTAGGTTGTTAATACCGGCGATACAGCCTATATTCCATTAGATGAAGATGAGTTGCATCAGCCTCTGGCTCCTGAAGTTGATGTTGATAATACTACTGATCAGACGCCACCAACTGCAGAGGTAACATAGACAGAATCTCAGCCAGAAGTGTTTCCAGAAACAGACCCTGAGACAGAGTTTGTTTGATGGAACTGGATGGAAATGATATGGTCGATAACAATAATGAAGTGGAAGTTATTGATCATTGAGATCTTAATCATGATTTGGTTGTAGAGGATGAACCACCTACAACGGAACCTCTTGGTCGTGAGCACAGACCAAAAATAAAGACGACAAGACTCAAAAACTTTGTGGCGAATACGATACATGAGACGTCATGTTATCCGATAGAAGACTTTATATCATGCGATCAGTTTTCTTCGGGTCACAGATGTTTTCTGGCAGAAATTACCAAACAAGAAGTTCCTCGACACTACTCTCAGGCCGTGGAAGATCCAAATTTTCGGGGAGCTATGAAATATGAAATTGTAGCCCTTGAAGATAGTGGTACGTGGACCGTGGAGGACCTACCACCAGGGAAAAAGGCACTTGGGTGTCGATGGGTTTATGTTATCAAATACAGAGCTGATGGAACTACATAACGCTACAAAGCTAGACTGGTTGTGTTCGGAAATCATCAAGTAGAAGGTGAGGATTTTATTGAAACTTTTGCGCCGGTTGCGAAGATGACGACTATACGATGCTTTCTTGAGATATTTGTAGCTCGAGACTGGGAAGTACATCAGATGGATGTGCATAATGATTTTTTTTTTGCATGGTGATTTGGATGAGGAAGTATATATGCAACTTCCTCCTGATTTCAAGTTGAGGACACAATAAAGTGTGTCGCCTACACAAGTATCTTTATGGTCTTAAACAGGCTCCAAGATGTTGGTTTGCTAAGCTGACTAAAGCATTAACAGAGTATGGATTTGTTCAATCGATACCAGACTACTCATTGTTTGTGTTTGATAAGGATGGCATTCAGATTTATGTCCTCATCTATGTGGACGACTTGATTATTACGGGTAGTTCACCAGAGGTAATATCGACATTTAAAGAATACTTGAGTAAATGCTTTAAGATGAAGGATCTTGGACTCCTCAAATATTTTTTGGGGATAGAAGTGGCGCGGAATCCATCTGGTATTTACTTGTACCAGAGGAAATTTTTTCTTGAGATCATCACAAAGACGGGTCTGCTTGGAGCTAAGCCGGCATCATTTCCTTTGGATCAGAATCTTCAACTTACACGGGCAACTGGTCCAATGATATTGAATCCTAAACGGTATTGCCTCCTTGAAGGGAGACTGATATACTTTTGAGTGACAAGGCATGAGTTGTCATATGCTATTCATGTTCTTTCTCAATTCATGCAAGCACCAAAGCAAGATCACATGGACGCGGCAATGCGGGTTGTGCGGTATCTTAAATGGAATCCAGGTCAGGGCATACTGCTTAAATCAGGTCACGCTCTTAGTCTTAGTGCATGGTGTGATGCAGATTTGGGAAGTTGCTCTCTTACTCGATGTTTGTTGACAGCATGGTTTATTCAGCTTGGTGACTCGCCAGTTTCATGGAGAAATTTTAAGCAAGATACAGTGTCGAGATCGTCGACGGAAGCGGGATATAAAGCCATGTCCGATACAGTGAAAGAACTGATTGGTTAAGGAATTTACTTCGCATGTTTGGAGTTCACTTTGATGAACCAATTCCAGTACATTGCGATAATATCTCGGCTATTTACATGGCAGTGATATCACTCAAATTATTCTAAGGAGTGAATTACTCTCTTAAATAAGTGGTTTAGTTGTATTACTTAGGGATCGAATCCACAAAGGAGCTAGGAAACCTAATATATCTAGTCAAGTAACAATCTAGGTGAATATATAAATAGCAGAATCAGTAAATAAGTAAACATGAAATATTCTAATCAAGCAAGACAATTTCTTAATCGAGAATGGAAACAAAGACTCTTGAAACTAAAATGGAAAAGATGCTAGACTTAGAGTTTTTATTCAGGTATTGGGATTATAATCCAATAGGAGCTATTCAGTTGCTTGTTAGATATTATAGAGCATTAACTATCTTGATTAAAAAATTATTTAAACTATTGTTCAAATAAATAAGTCTAATGACCGGCTGGTCGGACTTAATAGTGTCGAACGATTATTCGATAGGAACATCGATCGATACACTAAACTCATCATCGATCGATTTCTGTTCTGAAGATCGATCGATGAGTCCGGTCAAGCAATACACACGAGTTAACATAAACTCACTAGAGACTTCTAAATCAAACTATCGCTTTATTTCCAACAATCTTAGCTTAATAGGGAATGTGTTCATGACTATCAGAATTGTTTAAATATCTCTAATCCAACCTAAATAATCCAAGATTCAATGTTTCTAGTTAGCTACTCTAGAACCATGAGCAATAAGAACATCCTATTAATAAGTATCACAACTAGCAATCCTATAGTTGGGGCTAATCCCCCTAACCTATTTAAACCCTAAATCTAACAAGTAAACTACTCAGATATAGTTAAGTAGTTCATAACACAAATAGATGAATAAAACT